TCTTCTGTGTCTGGTTTAAATGAGTTAAAGCTATTGTGGTTTCAGGTTGAGGGTTTCTAATGTAATTTTTTTCCTCTTTCAGATCTTTGTACATCTTAATGACATTCACTCTGTGGTGGGAATTACTCTTTTCAGGTAGGCGTTCTCCTCACCGGATGTGTCTAGGCAGTGTCAGAACAGGCATGATTTCTAAATGCTCTTGCTGTCTACTGTGAGTATTTGTCTTCTGGTTTAATATTCACTGGACTGTCACACTAGTCTTGTGGTCTGTCTGGAGCTGAGCTGAGCACGTAGCCCAGACTTTGCAGTGAGTTATGGATAAAAGCAGACTGTGGTTTCTATCTGTCTGTCTGTAGATCTGTCCAGTTCATTTGTTTGTTCTTATTACATGGGCTTTTCTGGGTGGTTGTACCGTTATCTTACCTTGGTTTTTTGCTGTCTGCAGGCTTCCGTTGGCAAACAGAGAGTATATCAAAACCGCAGGGCTGCGGTCCACAGTTGCATGGGCCATGGCATCTCTGGCTGAAATCAGCGTAAGTGGGTGTTCATGGCAAAGATGTGGAGTCCTGAATGAAGGAGGGGGTTGCTGCTTGTCAGAGCTGGCACTGGAAGCTTGGGAGAAGTGTGGTGATTTTAATGCCCCACACTTGAATGCATGTGAGCAGGGTTTGCCTTATCTGTGGTCAGAGTGCGCTGTCACCTGCTGTTCAACCAGGTATCTGCTGTGTTCCTGGGTCCTCCTCAGGAGAGGTGTTATTCCTTGTATGGATATATGTCTAAAGAGCAAGATTTTTTCACTGTCCGGGCTTCAAACCTTGTTTGGGATTGTTCTCCCAAAAGAAAACAGAAGCAAGTGTGATGTTTTCCACAGATTAAGTTGGTACCAATACCCGTCTGCAGTCCACTCACAAGTTGCTTCCCTAAATGTCACCTCAAGGCTAGATGTATTGATGCATTGTCTTCAGCGAAACTGTCGATGCTTTCTACTCTGCTCTCTTACAGGCAGGTTTGGCCTGGTAAACCAGTGGTTATTGTTACCTAGACTGGATTCAGTGGGAGTTTGTAGGTGATCTGTGCATCCCTGAGGAGGCTTTGTCCCGGGAGAGGAGTCTGTCTTGCGTGGGATGCCATAACCCCTTTGTT